CCTCGTGTCCCTCTATATCAATTTTGCGCTCCAGGGAAAAGGACAGGTGAGACGCAGGGCCGAGGAATAAGGACGGGGAGGCCTATTTTCCATTCGGGGAAGAGAGGACTCGAGTGTCAACGGGACTTCGAGGCATTTTAAGAGAGAGCGTGTGACATTTCCTACACCTTTCTCGGGTCTGTAAGTTCACGCTCGGGGTATTTTTACCTTTATTCCATGGATATTTCCGCTGGAAGTGATGTTTTTACATTTTTAACAGTACGTTTGTATAAAGGGTGTAATAGGCCTTTCGACTTTTTTATGGGTGTAAAAGCGTAGATTGAGAAGGAACAATTATTCTGATACAATAAAAACATGTAATTTAAATGTCAGGTATTTGGCTTCAGTCATGCAGTTGTCCCACTGATATTAGGGAATGAAGTCCTTCGTGTTAATATTAGAGAATTCTTCCTTTGTTAAGGAGGCATTGTCAATACCTTTCGTGCAAGTCAATTGTCTATTGAAAATTTGTGAAATAGATTTGAAGGATCAGTTTAGATTTTTTAAAAATAAAGATAGGATTTTGAGTTTGAAATAGGTTTTAGATGTAGTGAGGATTCCTTGATTAAATGTTTTGCTTGTTTTAAGTTGGTATGATTGATAGAGATAGAGAAATTGTATGAAACACTCATTAGGAAAAGGCAATGCTGCGTGTCTCATCATAGGTCATTGACCTGTGTTATGTATTGATTTTATTTGTGGTCCAAAGGTTATATAACGTTTCCAAATTCCTTTTCGCAAGTTTATTTGAAAAATATTAGTTGGGAATATTATTAACAAATTACAGCTTATGAGTGAGAAAATGATAAAAGTGGAAATGTTTTACAATTATTTGATTATAAGATGGTAATTCTGACCTTTGGCTTTGTACTTTTTTCAGGGTTTGATTGTAAGAATTTTTTTCCTCTTGATCAAATGTGAGAGTGAGTTTGCTTGCCCTATGATCTCCCACCCCCTTAAAAGCTAAACATAAAAATAATGTTTTATTCTATATTACATGCCTTGAAATGTAGTCATACCTTTATTAATCATTAATCAGTAGATCTTACAATCTGTATCCTAAAATTGCTCAGTCAGACCCATATCAATGACGTCCTTTTTTATATTAGTTATGTGATTGATTACATGTTACAGGTAGCTGGTCTGTTCTGCTGTATTTAAAACCCAAACTTGTTCTGATCTGTGACAAAAGACCTGCAACCTGGTTTTAATACAGCCAACCTCCACATATATTCAGACAGGACAGAACTTGGAAGGGTTCCTAATTTGACCACAGATAACCAGAGAGGTCTACAAAGTCCACTCTTGCTAGAATGTGTGTGTTGGAAACTTAATGGACTTAGCTGGAGAGCTGGAGGCTTGGAGACCAGGTACTCAGGTGTCAGTTATCAGGCATAGAAATTACATTTAGATGTAATTTCTAAATTGGATATGGCTTAAGCAGGCATGTTATAAGCAAAAGTTGGTTGCCGACATTTGACCACACTTTCTTGGGGCAGACAGGCAGCAATTGGTACGAAGCCCTGGTGTAAAGTAACAAAATAAATTATTTAAATAATAAGCTGAAGATAATTCAATGTCTAATTTTAAAATTTACTTATAGCTTCTGCAAAACTGGATGTCATGGACTTTCTGACCACTTGGACATATTAGTAAGTGCTATGGAGTTGATGCACAAAGCCATTGACTTGGACGCTAACACTTATGGTATCATTGACTGTGGCTCACTGACTTCTCAGTTTATGGTGCTCCAGTTCTGACTGTAACAAATGATAACTCCTTGGCCACAGCAACTTTTATTTACTATGTTTAGTATTACTATTGTGATGTATGGAGTGTCATACTGTCCCCAATAATCTGAGAACTTCCCACAATGCAGTGGTTTCACCTCTGTATGGATGGTAAACAGGAACCTCTATCAAATATCATTAACAGCTCATGAATTTGCCTTCCCTCAAAACACTTGTGAATTGTTATTTCCATGTCCCTGACCTTTTGTTCCTAGTGAACTCCTGATTTGTTGTATGCTTAAAGAAATTGTGGAATTCACTCGTTGAAGCACAAAATCCTCTACTAAGGATTAATACCACAAAAAATCAACTGGTATACCAAAATAATACGAAAGGATAAGAACATTGCATTTTTTAAACTGACAGTCCTAAAATTACGGTAAGATTTCCTATGATGATGAAGATTTTAGCATAAGAAAATTGTGTTAAGAACTGATTTGCATTACACAATTTCTTTAAGCCTATGGCTGTTAGTTATGAATGAGGCTCTGCTTTGATTCTTGCTTCATATACCAGAGACTGTTTTTGGGGAAAGTACAGGAGACTCTTGCATAGTGGAAGTAGATATTGATTGGCAGTCCTCTATTCCCATATTTGGTAAGTGAAGGTGAATCAGCAGGGCCTGAACTTTGAAAGGACCTTCACCACCTGCTCCGAGTACCTCCAGGGCTACTTGTTAAAGGTCTGACTCTTTTCCCAAAGAAAGGGTTTGAAGTGGATCTGGTGTGTGTCTCAATCCACCATAAAGCTGTGATCTTATCTTGATACTCTCTTCGATATTACAGCGGTTTGAATTTTGATTAGACATTATTTTTTTTCCTGTATTGGTTGAATACGCTTAGATACAAGGCATTCCATTAATGCCTGAGCTGAATTGTGAATTTACAGAGAACCTGATAAAAGTCTGCACTGCATATTGCGTTATATCTTAAGAAGAAAGAATAGTTTATCTAAAAGAGTAGCTATGAAAGTGGTAATTTCACTACATTATAATATTCATATGTTAGGAGTCCGTTTTGGTACAATTTTTACCAGAATGGACTCCGTCTCACGTGACCCAATAATTACTTCGGACTCTGACCCAGTAATTGGTTTAGACTCTAGACTCCATGATTTCCATTCTATTTCCACAGCCTGAGAGAAAGTTATTCCCCTCCAATATTTTAATTAAAACCTTATGAGTAATGTCTTGAATGTCTCTGATATTGGGATAAGTATGACTACATTTGTACCAGACATTTTATAGTTATGTAGTTATACTGTTTTTTTGGGATGATTCTAAAGGAGAGGGTATCAAGTGTGATTCATACATTTGCAATAAGCTTTTGTAGTGTGTGTTGCTATTAGTGTGTGAGAGTTTTGTATGGATTTGCAATATTGTTTGATCTTGGGTAATTTTATTTTGGTTTATAGACTAGGATGCTGGTTGTGAAATAGGAAGTGTGATACAACTATAAGCATTTAGAATATAAAACTATAATAGAATTATAACCATATTTAATGACTTACAAAATTTAGAAGCTAAAATCTTTTGAAGGAAAATCAAGCTATAATTTTTTTTCAGACAAGCAAGCAGTCATGGCAGATGAGATCCAGATTATCACTGCACCACTGGTCAGTGTGAGAGTTACGAGTAATGTGAACAGCTTTACAGCGGAGAAAAGATATGATCGAAGTCTGACCATAGGAGACTTGAAGGTAAAAATGAGATTTGTGTATAAGTAAAAACTAGTTTCTTTATAATTTACTTATTTATTTTTATATTTTTCATTTAAATAGGTCTGTTGGTTACTTGTTTGTTCTCATCTTATAACAATAATGTATTTTATTATTTCAGTGATCAGGCTTATCAGGAGTTAGTCTTATCTACATTCAGCATCACCAGTATGACTCTTGTATATCTAAATACTAAAGTTAACCATTTGGAAGTTAGCAAAGAATGAGACGATAATAGCCTATACATTCAATATTATTATCCTTAGGGTCGCCTGGAACTTATCACTGGTGGATCAGCTGGGACAATGAGTTTGGAGGTGTATGACCCTGACGACAAGCTAATTTGTTTCTTGAATGACAACGATGCCCTTCTGGGTTCATTCAACATCGAAGATAATTATAGGATCCATGTAAGTCTACCCTTTGAGGGAAACTTCTGTCTCTGTTACTTGTATATGCTCTGCAAAACTTGATTAGCCCTTGAAGCAGAATAGAAAGTCTAAAAGTTTTAGACATTCTGCCAGTTATTACTAGTACTTCACATGTTTTTTGCCGTGCATAGATTTGCTTATTTTGATTACTGACTCTTCCCTAAAGGTAACAGACAACACAAAGAAAGTTGGAGAGTTTGAAGACTTGTCAAAGGTGGAAAAGTTTGAGCTGTCGGAAGAAGAATATGCAAAGCGTAATGGTTAGTTCTTTTTTGTATTTGTTTGTGAGGAGAAGGCGGCTTGCACAATGAAATTACCCTTTGAGCCAGACAGATAAGGTATTCACATAGCACTGATATTTATTATTTATTTTTTTTTACTTTTATTATCCTTATTATCATTATTGTTGTTAATGTTATTATTAATAAGATGATAGTTGTCATAGTTATTGGAATTTGTAATGAAAATTGTAATGATATTGAAGATGTTAATAACAATGGTGATTATTCATAATGGTGATAATTATTATAGTTATTATAATTATTTTAGTTATTATTATTATTATTATATGATAATAATAATTATTATTATAATAATAATAACAATAATTATTATTATAATAATAATAATAATTATTATTATTATGATGATAATAATAATAATTATTATTATAATAATTATTATTATTATGATTATTATTATTATTATTTTTTATCATTATTATTATTATTATATTATTATAATTATTATTATTATTATTATTATTATTATTATTATTATTATTATTATTATTATTATTATTATTATTATTATTATTACTGTTAATATTAATGATATAATAATTATCATAATCACAATTGTAATTATAATTTTAATTATGATTATAATTATTATTGTTGGGGATGCTTTCATCTATCTCCCAAACCGTTTAATATCACTTCATATCTCACCTGAAATCATAAGATATGCGCTTCGTTATCTCCCATCCTCGTCTGCCAAAGTAGGGATCATGAAGTCTTGGATAAACCCGTTTATTGTGGGGTTTGTAAAGAGAATCTCTTCTATGTCTGCTCTTTATTATTGCTAAGCCAAGAAGGGTTACATACATCGTCGCTAGGGCATACATTTGGCTGGTCATAGAAAACAGATTGCGCGTCATTACATGGGTATCATAAACATAATGAATGTTAGTCAGTTTATGCATAGGAACTTAATAGTGTTAATAGCATATAGTATTTAGTGTATGTTAACTTGAGCTAGTTTTTTTTTTTCTTCTTCTTTTAGTTCTTTTTTTTTTTTTTTTTTTTTTTTTTTCTTTTTTCAACATGTAGGTGTTAGCAATGTATTATCCGGGTGAAAGAGAATAAGAGAGGTGCATTCTTTTTTAACCTGTTGGATCTGGTTGAATCACGGCGCCGAAAATGTGTGCAGTGGGTTACGTAAGTAGCCAACATCCTGGGCTTGCAGCACATAGGCTGGGCGCACACGAACTCCCATGAGCGGTTACAAGACTCAGTGTGTCCCCTTTACAAAATTATTTTTTGTAATCCTTTTTAGCTTTTTTGCTATTTTCCAATGTCCATATTTGTCTTTTAATTTGCTTTATCCAGATGGAAATAGCTTATTTTCCTTGCATAGACTCTATATTATCTGTCTAGGTAGTAAATAACTCACTGCAAGAAAAAAGAAATATAGATTATTGGTTATTTCTGGCATATATCTGGATTTTTCATAATTTTCAATTTTCTGTAATACAACTTGCGTGGCGCAGGAATATGGTGCAACATGGAGTGGCCGTTGCTCTTCCAGTCACTGCTTACGCACGTTAAATTCCACGTTCATTTATCGATGGGAATAATGCTAAAGCCCCTTTCTAAGTGCCAAAGGAGTCAAATCACACTCCAAGAGGTTTGTGCAGTTGTGGTTATTTTTTTCCGTTACCATGGCCCCTTCACTCATGGCGGCATGTTCATGTCACCTAGCCCTTGAACCAGATTTATCCATGAGGGGACTGTAACTTCATCCAGATCGTAGGGGGTAAAGATTTTTGCTTATTAGTTTCAAGAAATGCTTAGATGCGTTTTGTTAATGAGTTTTAAGAAATCCCTTAATGTTCTTTGTTGTGTTATTTGTTTTAAGAAATTATTTGTATATAGCCGTGGATGCTGTGCTGGTTGATTAATAACTGAACAGTTTATTGAGTTGACTGTTTGAGTAGGAAGTTGGAGCTGAGATACACTTTTCTTCACTCAAGAATGGCACATGGATGTTTTAATTGTTGTTTATTGTGAGAATATTTTAACCTGTGGCTGATGTAATAGAATTTTATCATAAATGTATTTCTTTAAAGAGCGCATTGAAACAGAAGGAAGAATTGATGGTAAAAGATTACTGTCTGGGTATTTAGGGATGATAGCAAGTACAGTGAGGTCATATAAACTACTAACCTCTTTGCTTATTTAAAGGGAAGTTTTGTGGGTAAGTTCGTTAATTCAGATTGCCCTAATACTAGTTTCTTCAAAAGTGCTGTCAGTCAGTTGGTTGTAGTCTGTACTACTGTAAGGCTTGCAAAATCTACCTGTTCAACATCATTACATGCCCTCAGAGATAGTAGAAAAATAATCGAGACTTACTATTGAAAATCACAATACATGTAGCAGATGTCACAGAAAAAAATACAAGAAATGGTACTGTAACTGACCTATCCCTATGTCGTATTTGATAGCTATGAACAGAATGTATTAGAAATACAATTATTAAATAGCCATATAGATTTTGGGGCTGCTGTGATACAATGCAAAGTAACATGCAAAGCTAGGGATCTAAAGGGTTTCCAAGTGTGCTGTTTTGAATCCTGCCTATGGCCCTTGATTCGGGAGGGCCTCCACTTAGGACCATGTCCTCTTATTACCAGATCCAAAGTAGTTTTTCGTAGGAAGTTGGAAGCCAAATCTGGGAAGATTATGATGTGAAGCAGAATCAGTGTTAGATTATACAGTTTTTACAAAGAAAAGGATCATAATAGAAGGAAAGAATTTGAAAATGATAAAGGCCTAAAGAAGAGGTGAAAATTAATACAGGTCAAATAATACTGAAAACTGCTGTAGTATTTGTAAAGATTAGACAATAGACAACAAATACAGAGGTAGATAAAGGAAAAAAGAAGAGCATATTTTAGACCAAGAAGGAATATATGTAACAGGAAAAAAAACATGTATGCATAGAAAGTAAAAATGAAAGAAAATGAAGAATAGTAAGGTCATTTTCTCAATACATTGTGTGAAAAACTAGCATAATTTCAGTTCTGGACATGCTTATAGTACAAGGTACAGTTCATAGAATTGATAGAGTGACTGACTCTGTGACCTTTTGTCTGAGGACATGGCATTTGTAAATTGTAAATAAAAGCTTTGGAATACTTGAGGCAGATGAAAAACATTTGAGCTATGGATCTGTCATTCATGACCATGACTATGAAAGACTTGAGTAATTTGTTGACCTTCTTCATGATTTATTGATAAGAATCCAGATCTTGCCACCAGAAAATGATAGTTTCATTGGTCGCAGCCAGAGCATTGTTTACCTTGTGAAGGCTTGACTTCATTCAAAACTGGATTTTTTGCTGTGGAAATGTTTTATTATCTGGAAAGGATGTCATTGTCATTGTAGTCATCAATCATTAACAATGAATACCATTACTTTTGATTGTATATATATTTTTTTGTTATTGTCATGAATAGATATTTTAAAATTACCCTATTTTTAAAATGTTTTGGAAACTTATTCTTCACACATTGTATCTTGATAAACATGTTCAACTCAGTAGAATATGCATTATATTGAATATACTCCTGGTTGAAGTCAGGTACCATTTCTTAACACTCAGAAGTATTGGGCTGAAGGCTTTAGTAAGTCCTTGTCCCTTGAAGATCTCTTGTTGTTGTTAGAAGGAAGAAGTGAATATGAATGTTATTTCACTGTAAATGTTTTTTCTTTTTTTTTCATAGTATTTGTCATGAAACATGTTGTTACACTGACTATCACAATTTCCCTTTCAAAATAGTTAATTTGTTTTACTCTTTAGTTTGGAAGAGAGATATGTTTAGCATCCCATCCTATTGATTTTTATTGGAAAGCAAGAAATAAAACAAACAAACAAACAAACAAACAAAAAACAGTATTTGGAAGAATTCTGATATGTGAAAATTATTTATTAGAAGTTATAGAGATATAAATTGTGAAACATTATAAGAAATTAATAAAGCAATTATTATTTACTTCTACAGATAGTGTGAAAGCTTTCCTGCAGAAGAACAAACTGGGGAAATACAATGAGGAGGAGCAGGCCAGAATACAAGCGGAGAAAGAAGCCGCAGAAAAAGCGGAGGAAGATAAAGCTAGCACGTTCAATGTAGGAGACCGGTGTGAGGTGAGAGGATTAGCTTCCACAAGTGAGGCAGGGAGGGAAATGTTGATGGAAAAGACCCGGAACTAGATATTGCAGGGGTTTGATTTCACCAGTTGTGATATTTCTCTTTATATGACTGGAATAAGTATAGGGTCTTTACAAAAATAATCTGAGATCACTGTGTCATTGTTATGTCATTGGAGTAATTTTGTTTTCAATGGAAATAAAGGTCTTTGTAGTTTTTTAATTTAAACTTATTATATTAAAATATGATACTGAGTCCTTATATAAAATTAAATTTATATGCTAACAAAATTAGTATATTAAATTTTCCAAACCAATTACAGGTTAAAGTTCAAGGTGAACCAACTCGGCGAGGCGAAGTGATGTACATAGGAGAAGTGCACTTCAAGCCAGGTGTTTGGGTTGGCATCAAGTATGATGAACCCTTGGGAAAGAACGATGGAAGGTGAGCAGTAGAAAAGTTCTGAGTTCCGTTGTAGTAAGATTATGTTACTTTTGTATGTTAATGACATATATGTGACTTTGTATTACTGTTCTGTTATGCAGTTTAGCATTAATATGTCTGACTGAGTATTTTTTTTATTTTATTTTTTTTTCTGCATAATTTATTTGGCATAACTTTTTAAAAGTAATTTCAGACAAGGTGGTTTATTCTTATGCTCTTTTTTCTTTAATAGGCAAAATTTTGAGGAAGTGTTGAATATTTTAAAGTAAAAAAAAAAAAGAAAATAAAAAGGTTCTTATTTGTGATTTCTAACACTGCTATTTTACCCGTCTATTTCCAGCATTGGCGGCAAACGTTACTTCGAAGCAACTCCCAAATATGGTGGCTTCACTCGCCCAACAAACGTTGAAGTGGGAGATTTCCCTGAGCTGAACTATGAGGATGATGAAATGTAGAATGTGTGACCGAGATGAAGGCAGCATGCATTTTCACTTACAAGACTCACTTTAGATGCTATATATATATTTTGTAATGTTCCCTTTTGAGGATAAGCACTTGAAAGATGGCATATGGTTGGCATCAGTGTTGAAGGCAGAAAATTTAGTATTGTATGTTTTGAAATAATTTATCACATATTTTCATGATTATTACATTTAGTATTTCATTATTAATACTACTACTATTACTATCACTACCACTACCATTTCTGACACTATGACTACTACTTCTTTCATTGCTGCTGGAAATAGTTATTTCTGCTATTTTTAATCAACAATATTTATCATAAGTTGTGTTTATTTATTCTAACTACCTTGGGTAAAAGAAAAAGCAAAACTTGTGTTTGTTAATACTGAAACAGTTCAACAATGAGTAAAAAATTAATCTGGAATTTTGCACTACAAAAGATCCGAAAAAGGAAGCATAATGGATTATGGAAACCACAAAAGGAGTCACATCTTGGGGGGGGGGGGGAGACGATGTCCTACATATTCACTGGGACGATGTCCTACATATTCACTAAGGGTTTAAAAGGGTTGTGATGAGGGACGGACCAGTCGAACTCGGTCACTTTTTGTGAGGAATGTCTCTTCTGTTAGGCATAGTGTTTGTGTACTGTGTGATACAACTTGGATGCTGGTTCTTTGAGAATCACTGCACTAGTGGCAACACAGGAGAAATCCGTCTTGCATTGTTGTTGCAAGTGATAAAGCACTGTGCATTGATATTATAAGCTTTATTGCCAGTGTGTAGAGTTCTGTATGAATATTTTTGTACCTTATTTGCTCTTTATGTTCATATGAGATTCATAAATGGGTCCTCTTTAATATTCCAGCTTTTGTCTTTTGCTGGTGTTGAAACTTATTGTTTTGCTTATTATTACTGGTTTTATTATTTTTATTTCTTTTCATAATATAGAGCCTATTTTTTATCTGTTATTATCCTTATCCTTATAATTTTTGCTTAATATGATTAATGATTATAATTATAATCTTTGAATTGTAATAATTATCATAGTTATGATTATTATCATTATAATTATTTTTATCATTATTATAGATAATGAAATGAATATAAAAATAATTTTGAAAATCATAATTACTACCACTACTATTACTGCAGCTGCTTTAACTTCTGCCACTAATAATATTGTTACTACTTTGTTGATATAATTATGATAATGATAATGTAAGATGATAGTGATAATACAACATTGATTGTAATATCAGTACCATTATGAATTTTAATGATTATTATCAAAACATGATTATTGTATTACATTATTTTTATACTTATTATTGCAAAAATATCATTTATATCACAAAGTAATTAAGTACAATTTTATTTCTTGAGTTAGGAGAATGGTCACATTGCCAGAAGTGGTAAAATTTTACATTCAAATTTAAATATGATAATGAAAATTGAATTGAAAATTAATTGCTAAAAATATTGAAGGATCAAGTTGTATGAGAGCTGGAAAGATTAAATGTTTTTCCAGTTGCTGATGTGCCCGTACCTTCATGCACGCTTGCTCACATGCGCACATGCACATGCAACACTGACAAACACACACACACACACACACACACACACACACACACACACACACAACACACACAACACACACACACACACACACACACACACACACACAACACACACACACACACTTTCTTTCTCTTCTCTCTCTCTCTCTCTCTCTCTCTCTCTCTCTCTCTCTCTCTCTCTCTCTCTTCTTCTCTCTCTCTCTCTCATCACTCACTCACTCTCACTCACTCACTCAGCTCTTCACTCACTCACTCACTCACTCACTCACTCACTCACTCACTCACTCACTCACTCCATCATCACTCAATCTCACTCACTCACCACTCCACCTCACTTTCATCTCACTCTTTTCTCTCTCTCACATTTATTTTAACTAAAGCATATATACCTATTCCTACACATACACCAGAGATGGAAAGATGCAAAAACAAAAAAATGCACAGGCATAGCTGGTGACACTGTAAAATGTAAGAAAGTAGTTAAATAATAAATTCTGTGATAGACATGCATTCCAGTTTTTCCTTTTATTATCACAATGTGTCCTAAGGAGTAATAGGATTGCACAAACTTTATTTGCTCACTTTATAAGTAATCTGCCTTAAGTTATAGTTAGTTGGAATGGTGTGTACTCTGTAGAACATAAAAGGTGTTCAGTGGCATTATTGTGATAGACTTTTACAACTGTCATTAAATGAAGTGTCACCCTCTTCATATTTCTAATTAAGTTTTAAGTGCATTGGTAAGCTGCTTATGCCTTCTTATCTAGAGATGGATACGATGATCTAGATATCTCAGATATGTTTTAGATTAGAAAGACACTGCCTTGTGAACTGCCTGCACATTTCCTGTCTCATAGACATGGATGGAGCCCTTGATGAAAAGTGCTTCTCTCCTTTTGTAAAGCTTTTATGTTGCTCTATGAGGATTTGGTATTTATTTCTGGATTTATTTATCTTTTTCTCATTGGGATATCATCTTTACCAATGTTATTAACAATTAAGGTATCAGGGATTTTAGAAGTTATCATGTTTAGTTTTATATGCATAGGCAACTTTGATTATTATGATTAATTAATGAATAATGTCAGAATGTGTATATTTGATATGTCATTTTGTATCATTATGTTGATGAACTTTCTTTTTCATAGATTGCCTTTGGAAAGGGTGACTGTGTACTACAAAAAAATCATATGACTGCCACCAGGATTCAAACAGAATTTAATAATTTCATGTATACACATACATTGGCATCTGAGAATGCATATACACATGCCCAAGCAGGCACACATGCATATGCTTACATATTTACATGCACGCTCTTACACCCACATAAAGACACTAGAGATCAGTACATAGATAGAAAGGGATATCAAGGCTTCAAAAATAATTTCTACAATTATTCATTCCTGAATAATCATATAACACTCCCTAGTTTTTGGTATATTATTTTAATAAGAATCTAGCAGAAAACAATTCTCCCGATAGAAATGTGTAATTTATATGATTTTGTTATGATTTGTTACGGCTTCAAATATGAAAGAAAAAGTAAATTAATAAAGAGTTATGATTGACATCTGTATTTTTATATCCTAGTCTGAGTGT